CCTGGGCGCGACGGGTGTTCTCAACTCGTCTTTTGTTGTTCAACCGCTGTTCCCAAATTATTCATTCCCCTTTTGTGACCGAGTTTCGCCCTCTCCCCTGTGATTGCCCACCTGCATTGACGTGCTAATTGTGGACTTCAACAGCCCTCCGGCCAGGTGGCCGGCGCCTTTGTGCACAGGCATTTGGGGGTGCTGGATACGCACCCAAACGTTTAGATGTGCCCAAATTAAATGAAACTTTAAACATGATACAATTTTGCTCATAGATTCCTCTAACACTTATTGAATAAGTTTTTGCTGCAGCACCGAAAAAAGGAGTGCTGTGGTGGTGTTATTTTAAAACGCACGCTTTATTAATGGCTTTCACAGTCTCAACAAATACAGTTACGTCTGTCCATCTCTGTGCATTCTCTTCTTCCGTTCGACTCGAGAGGCGTTCATGACCGCCTCGGAAAAGAGTTAATTAACTATTCCTTCATTGAAACTACGAAAATGGAAAACAATGCATCAAAACAGAAAATCAAGCGAGGAAATCACAAAATAAATTCTATAGCCCCCCTAATGAATTTATTTTGTGATTTCCTCATTTGTGAATACAGTACACAACAAAGGAAAATGCTTCATTAAATAAGTTTTTGTTGCAGTTCCGAAGAAAGGAGAGCTGTGGTGTTTTTTTTTTTTAAATGCACACTTACCAAAATGGCAAAATAAATTCTGTGGGGGGGGCTATAGAATTTATTTTGAGATTTCCTTGCTTGATTTTCTGTTTTGATGCATTATTTTCAATTTTTGTAGTTTCATTGAAGGAATCATTAATTTGTTTTTCGGAGGCGGTCATGAACGCCTCTCGAGTTGAACGGAAAGAGCGTAGCTCCATCTAGTGGATGCATTGTAGATTGCGTTTTATAATCCAGTGCGTCCAATATCTGAAAAAAATTACAAAATAGGCCATTCATTGAAGGTGCGCCTCATAATCTAGTGCACCTTTTTGTGCGGAAAATACGGTACGTACCTACCTACCTATTTACCTACCTAACTACTTACCTTACTGTGGGCAATTGTTTAGCAACCACTTAATTTGTATGCAAAATAATTAAAATTTTTGTATTGTCCCATTAGAGAAAATCACAAATACGCATGAATGGTAGGTTACAACAAAAACTCCACAAATGGACAAATTTGCAAACATTGTACTGCAATATGATGGGTTCCACTCTTACTGACACTCATAATTCACTTACATTGCACTTTATTCCCCAACTTAGGTTTACAATGTCCTTGTCATGGTAACACGGTCTTGGGGCTTTTATTTTAAATTATTTTTTTATGTAAAATAAAAACTTTTCTTGTAAATGGAAACATGCAAGTATTCCACTGCAATGGCGCAATTGTTATTCCTCTAATCTGCCAATGGTAAGGCAGTTTGTAAACTGCAAATGACAATGACATTTTTCCTAAACAGGGAGCAGAGAGAGAGATTTGAGAATGGAGAAAAAAACTGACAATGACAACACTCAACCCCTTCTGTTTCAGGCAAACAAGCTACCCACAAGCAGATGACAATGTTGTTTACATTAGTGGAGGGACAGAAGAATATGCTCAAAGTCCTGGCAACAATGGTGGTAAGCATACTCCAAAACATGCTATCAAAGTACTTCTTTAAAAATATATATTTTAGAAATAGTCCACAATTTGCCTCAGTTAATCATCAGATGTACCTGGTCTTGAATTTGCGCTTTACTTTGGAGTCAGCCAATCATCCAATAAGCATCTCCAGTTGATCCAAAATGCTGCTACCCGCCTCCTAACTGGAGCTCGTAAGAGGGGGCACATAATGCCAATTCTGGATTCCCTTCACTGGCTCCCAGTACATTTTAGAGTTCTTTTTAAGATCCTATTATTTGTTTTCGAATCTTTAAATGGCCTCACCCCACCTTACCTATCTGGGCTCTTCCACCCCTACACACCTGCCTGGTGCCTCAGGTCTGCGGACCAGACACTATGAGAGGTACCGAAAACCAAGCGGAGGCTCACAGTGGTTCAAGCCTTTTCCGTTGCTGGTCCCTCATTCCCGCTTTCTATTGTCTTTGTTCTTCATTTATTCTTTCATTGTTTCCTGTAGTGTGAATTCTTTTTGCTCCATATACAGCACTGTGTAAACAGTGGATGTTGTTTTAAATTTCTCTGTAAATACAGTTGAGTTGAGTTAGATGACGTGCATCTCTGCTGCTCTCTCTTCTTGTCTAAAATGTGACATCCGTACAGGGACCAACAATGCTTCTGAATTTGACGACTTCCCTCGAAATGGGGCCAATCCAAGTAAGTTATTCAACTAAATTAAGACTCCGCTGAAATATCGCATGAGCGTTCAGGCCCGACAACATCTATGAACTTATTTTTTATCATACTGGTATCGCCATCTGGTGGCAAAAGAAAATGTTTTATTTTTTAATGTTTTCCCCAAACTGGTTAACCGGAACTACAAAACCTAAAATTTGCTCAGAACAGTTTTAAGTCTTAGATCATACTAAAACACAAACTTATTTCACTTTTGCCAAATGCTGTTGCCATAAGCATGGGATTTATTTGTTCAGCCTATTTCATTACATCAAAGAAAAAAACTGACATCCTGTATGTTTACATGAAGATGTAAAATTTTCATGAAACGAAGCAAGAGAGAAGAGTAATCCTCTTGTCATATTTAATGGACTCGATACTTGCATTATAATTTCTCACTAGTACATTTATATCATGATATGTAGCATTATTGTTCAGAGATTCAGCTTTATTTGGAGCGGGGGGAGGGAGTGATCACGAGTTGAATCGAAGATTTTTCTGTCAGGAAAATGGCAATATTAATTGTTTGCTGAAGTCATTGAGCCCCAGTCTAAATGTGTGTAAAAACACATAAATCCTTTGCGCACACATTATCAGGCCTGGCAAAAAAAAAAAAATGTTGAAAGTTATTGTGCATTTTATTTGTTTATTTATTGAGTGGCAATGGCTCAGTAGCGGCCCTTACAAATTTTTATCGAAGCATTCCCGGTTGTCTGTTTCACCAAGATCTACGAAATGTTGGAGGCACATTTACCAGCTCAAAGACCGACCAAGAAGTCTCTGAGAACAATGTGCTAAACCTCCAACATTTTTAATTTAACTTTTAAATATGGCCCCATTTTTAGCCTTTTATAAGAGGACATATTTTAGTGAACTCCTTTTCAAGATTTCGTCCTATCGTCTTCAAACTTCGGGTGCTTCATCCAAAGATGTTTCATTTGAAAAGTTAAGTAAAGCTTTTTATTTCGTTGAACAGCTACTGTGGCGACACATTGCTTGCCAAGAAAAATGATGTCTGTTTTCTTGGTATAAACATGCATAGCAACTGATGAAACTAGTGATAAATTCAAGATTCAGCTCTAGCGTTTACCTAGGTCTACAAAAATTGGTAGGCATATCTTCAGTAACAGCCCATGACCTACCAAAAAGAGCCATGCCCTAAACCCAACAAGGAGTCCACCATTTTTACTTTTTTCAAATGTTTTTCATTTTGTAAAGTGGCCATATTTGATAAAAATTCTCTTGAGATTTAATCTGATGTACTATGAATTTTGGGTATGTCACCTAAACATCATTGCAACACACCGTGTGCCAAAAAAACAAAGTTGTTTTTGAAGGCCTAAAAATGCACAAAAGCACATGAAATTCAAAATATGCATTATTGTTTGCAGAAAAGAGTTAAAAGTGTGGTGTTTCTTAGCGAGCAGTGATAGCAGAAATTACATTTTGTTTTCACGCTTTGCAGATCCAGGTTCAGTCACTTTATTGATCCCGAAAAGGCGCAATTCCTTCGCCGTTCACCAGAACACAATCACACAGACAACGCACAGCATGCTATACAGTATGACAAGTCACACATCTCATTCACTGCTTCTGACGAATGAATTCGTCAAACAAAAAAGTAACGCTCACTGCCTTTTGAAGAGTGGCAAGAGGAAAGACATTTCTTCAAAAAAAAAAACGATCAAAAGGCCCATTTGAAGTTTGCCATAAGACACACCAGAAGGTGCTCTGGTCAGATGAAACCCAGGGGGGGCGCTTGGAACAGATTAGGGCATTTACATGGAAGATGCGTCTCTACTTACAAAATTTTGTCGTAAAGAAATTTCCTCCAGAATCAATTAATTACGGAAGTCGAGGTACCACTGTACATTATTTAAAAATGAGGATTCTTTCGCAGGGTTACATTTTCCACATGGACAGAGTGAGGCTGCTTTTTAGTTGAGCCCTCAGCGCAACAAGTGGATAAATTGTCAGAATTGTCATGTAGCTCAATGGGCCCCCGTGACTCCAGTCACTTAGCACAGCATTGCTAAGAGCAAATCTTCAACCAGGGGACGCAATGGAACTGCTATGTCATGTATTCCACAAGGCAGACTACACAAGGACATGGTGACCGGTCTTCAGTGTTTGAAACGTACTCACCGAAGGACCGATTTCTAACATTTCCAAAAAAAAGTTTGAGCTGTCAGAGTCATGAAAGTGAACTTAATTGAACTTCAAGGAGAGAGGTTCAGTTGCTGTGAAGAAGATTTCAGGAGACCTAAGAACGTCCAGAAACAGGACTGTGATTCAGCTGCAGGATTGGAGCACCACCAGTGCAGAACTTAGCCAGGAATGGAAGCAGGCAGGTGTGAGTGCACCTACACACTCAGTGAGGCCAAGACTTTTGTAGGATGGCCTGGTGTCAAGAAGGACAACAAAGAAGCCACTTGTCTGCAGGAACAACTTTAGGGATAGACTGATAATCTGAAACAGGTACGAGGATTGGACTGCTGAGGACTGCGGTAATGTCATTTTGTCTGATCAATCCCCTTTCCGATTGTTTGGGGCATCCGTAAAGAAAAAAAAAAAACGCTTGTTGGGAGAAGAAAAGGTGAGCACGAGCATCAGTCCTGTATCATGCCACCAGTAAAGCACCTTGAGACCATTCATGTGTGGGGTTACATCTCAGCCCAGGTACTGGGTTCACTCACAATTTTGCCTAAAAACACAGCCATGAGCAACGTTTCCCAACCATCCAAGACCCATTTGATGACGAAAAAAACCTTTTCCAACATGATTGAGCACCTTTCCACAAGGCAAAAGTGATCACTATGATGCTCAGGGTACAAACATCGACATTATGAGTCCAAGTCCAGGAAACTCCCCAGACCTTAAGCTGAACCCTTGAGAATTTGTGATCAATCCTCAAGAGGAAGATGAACAAACAAACTCACAAATTCTGACAAACATTGAAGAACTTTGAGGATGTCCTTCTCTCATAAGGGCAACAGAGGGCAATAAACCGTCTGTCGTGGTCAATGGAGAGAGCCTTGATGTAGAAAAATTCTAATATCTGGTGAGCGATGTCTACCATCCTGTGGTTAACACTGCTATTAGATTTATTAAGAGAAAGAGAGAGAGAGAGAGAGAGAGAGAGAGAGAGAGAAATACTGACATAAAATGAAATTGGTACCCTCTTTATGTCTGACAGTTCCCAGCTTCTGCTGTGCAGTGGGAGTTGACTGGAAATCTCTGACCACACCGGCCTGCTTGCCACTCACCACTGACTACTTCCCTGACCGGCAAATGCTACAAAGTGACTACACTGAAGGATGCTATGACTTACTGCCACACAGTGACCTGGAGAGGTGTTTGTCGACTTTTACTTTGACCCATTCATACCAAATAACACTTAAGGATAATGTACAAAATGTCAATGAATGAGGAAAAATATATCCATTTTTTCAACGGTTTACGAATAGGGCTGGACAATTAATTGAAAGTTCATTTTGTTCTCGATCTTTAAAACATTATAACCGAAGAAAAACTATTAATGTGCAGGACATCGTGGTGCATTTAAAACTTCCATCATTTGTGAAAGTTAACTAAATGCATCATGTTGCTTTTGGGGCAAGGGTGTACCGTATGTGATTCTTCCGTCCCTGAGCGTGCTTAAAGCTAGATAATGACACACCAGTTGGAGTTAACTATCAAACTAAACTTGCACCAAAAAAAAAATTACACACTTTGTATATATAATAGTAATGTGCGGCACCACGCTGCACTTATGAGGCCAACGCACAGGAAGGTATTTGTTTTTATTCAGTTTTTTTTCATCTATTATTTTAACATATTATTTTACTTTCTTATTATTTTCTCTTTGTCCTTTCAAGTTATACTTAAAGTTAAGTTTTCACGGATTCCAATTTTTTTTCCTTCAATACTCTCAAGTCTACATTTCTCGAAATTCAAGGATACAAAGATTCTAGGACTTTTCTTTTTGTCACATCACCACATATTTCTACATGACATGGTATGAAATTAGTAGTAGTAGTAGTAATACGTTGGATTGATTTCAAAATGTAGTTTTGAAATCAATCTCCCCACCCCCCTCCATCGTAATTTCACTCTCAATCAAAATTGTGATTGTGTTTCCATATTTGTCCAGCCCAATATGTAATCATCTTTTAAAAATGGGCATGCACTTGTACTGTAAATCAAGTTTATGTTTGAATATCTAATGTGACTGTTATCTTCATTCTTTCTAGGCGAGAAGATGAATCGCCAGGGATGACTGCTACTCAAGTCTTTGAAGAATTTATCTGTCAGAGGTTGATGCAGGGCTACCAGATCATTGTCCAATCAAACAAGAGGAGACGACAACCTTCTGTGGCTACACCCCTTGGCAGCAGTCCTTTATACACCAGAGGTAAGACATTTCATATATTGCTGTGAAAAAGTGTCTGCTCTCTTCCTGATTTTTGTCTTTTTTGCATGTTTATCACACGCAAAAAATTAACTTCATCAAACCAATTTTAACTTTCCCCAGAGAACCCAAGGAAATAAAAAAAGGCAGTTTCTAAATGCCAATTTAATTTACTTAGACACAAAAAAATATCTAAACTTACCTGTCCCAATGTGAAAAAGTAATTGCCCCCAGAGACTAGTAATGGGTTGTGCCACTCTTGGCACTTGAAATCAAGTGTTTGCGATAATTGGTGATGAGTCTTTCACATCGATGTGCAGTGATAATTTTACAGTTTGAGCCCTGCGAGTCCCAGGGACTCGCTGATCAGAAAAGTATGAGTCCCATTATGCATTTAGAGAGTCCCAAATTTCGAATTCTGAAATGGTCTACTTATTCAATTGCCTATGATAATAACACAAACAACAACAATATACATTGATAATAGGTTTATTTCTTATAAACAAATTCTGCAAACATTTTAAAAATTAAGGCATACAAGATTTGCTGAGAAAAGGTTCTTATTTCATCCCATGGTTCAGTCTTTGAGTTCATAAATTCTCCTCTTTACTCTGCTTCCAATGATGCAAGGCTTTCTCAAAGTCAACTTATCATCGCAAAAAACTCTCTAACTTTAGCTGCTTCCTCTGTGACATCTCCGCAATAAACTTTCGCAACACTTGTTCGCAACACTTGTTTTAACGTTACACAACTTGGCAATCGTCCGCCGATCTCGCCAATCTCGTCTCGCGAGAACGGAAATCTCGTCATGCGAGATTACTTAACGTGAGATCAAAACAACAATGGCGGCGATTATCAAACTGCAATCGTTGCTGGAAAAAAAGATGTACCATAGTTTTTTTTGTTTGTTTTGACTGAGAAATTTCCTTGTGTCCCAAAAACGCATATTATTTGGAACTGTGCATCCCGCGGGAAAATTATGCGTCTAGGACGCGGGACGCAGAGGTAACGAGATGGCTGGCTGCGGGGAAATTTTTGCCCAGTTTTCTTTGCAGAATTGCTTCAACTCTGCCATATTGGAGGGTTTTCTAGCATGAACTGTGTGTTAACAGTCACACCACAGCATCTCAATTGGATTCAAATCTAGACTTTGACTTGGCCACACCAAAACCTTAATTTATTTATTTTTTTATTTTTATCCATTCAGAGGTAGACTTGCTGGTGTGTTTCAGATCATTATCCTACTGCATGATCCAAGAGCGCTTGAGTTTGAGGCCGCAAACTGATGGTTGTATGTTCTCCTTCAGGATTTTCTGGTAGACAGCAGAATTCATTGTCCCATCAATCACAGCAAGTTGTCTTGGTCCAGACCATCACACTGCCACCACCATGTTTCACTGTTGGCATAATGTTCTTTTTACGAAAAGCTGGGCCATTTTTATCCCGAACGTAACGGCCCACTCATTTTCCAAAAGGTTCAATTTTGGACTCTTCACTCTACACAATGTTTTTTCAAAAGTCTTGAAGATCATCAAAATGACTTTTGACAAATAAGAGACGAGGCTTTGTGGTTTTTTTTGGACCACAGTGGTTTTCGCCGGGGAACTTTCCCATGGATGCCATTTTTGGCCAGTGTCTTTCTTATTGTAGAGTCGTGAACACTGACCTGAACTGAGGCCAGCGGGGTCTGGAGTCCTATGGGTGTTGTTCTAGGTCCTTTTGTTGGATGAGTCACTGTAACTTCAGCCGGTCGACCACTCCTGGGAATGTTTGCCACTGTTCCCAGTTTTATCCATTTGTGGATAATTACTGAAACCTCACAGCCTTGGAAATTGCTTTGTAACCTTTTCCAGACTGATAGATTTAATTAACTTTCTTTCTAATTTCTTCTTGAATTTCTTCGGGTCGTGGCATGATGCATTTGTTTCTTTGGCCTCTTGTAGTCTACTTCACTTTGACAGAATTTTCGTGTACGTGTATGTGGGTACCAGCATGTTTAAAATATGTTAACAGTATTTGTACTTTACGTATTTGTGACAAAAATGACAACAGTACACGTATTTACTTAAATCTTTAATGAATAAAACTTATACAGTAATTAACATTTATCAACATTGCCTTCTGAGAGAGACGAAGAGGCTTGCGTTGGTGGCGTAGAAGGCAGCTCTCACTTGACTTGTACAGGCTTTACGTTCACTCGGAGACTCTTCTGTTGGAAGCGCTGACGGTGTCGCTCAAATTTTTAAATTTAGAAAACATTGTTATGGGTTGCGCTGACGTTCATCTTGTCTTCTTATTAGTTGAAATAGGTTCAGGGTTTCTTTTTTAAGTGAAGAAAAAAAAACTTACCGAGCTGACAGTTTCGATTGTCACTTCAGCCATCGTCTGAGCTGTCACTGTTTCCTTGTGACGTGTATAAAAAACAGCTGACTGGTCAGGAAACATTCAAAATAAGCCTCTCCGACCCGGTCTAAATTGTCGTTGCAATGAATCTGCGTTTTCATTGCTCTGAATATGTGTACAAGAATTTTGAATTAAATTCTGAAATCTGAAATTGGGGGCCAACTAAATTGCTGTGAGATGGGAGTACTGAGACATTTTGGTACTCAACTGTAGAGTTTTTAGTTTTTGTTTTTCAACTGGAGTGTACAGAATGACTTTTTTTGTAAGACTGTTCTTTTGATGGCAGCACGGGCACCTGCAGCGGCTCCTCTCTCTCCCGAGGAAAGAAATTTCATCTGTGCTGTATGTTGCACATGTAGCACATTTGACGATAAAGTTGACTTGAACTTGAAGACCAAACAGAATATAGCTACAAAAGTCGATGCGGTAAGGTATGAGACCGCGGCCAGTAATACCGGCAGTGTGGGGAGATGAGGGAGGAACACAGCTGATTGATGTGAAATTATTATGCAAAGGTGAAATTATGATGATTGGGTGACTTTTTTTATATGAGCGTGGAACAAAAGACAACTGTTGAGGATGACAAACGAACTCTTAACCTGGAGTGAGGTGGAGACTGAGGAGTTATAGATTGTTGACTTGAGTGTTGATTTGCCTTCTAATATTTTACGTTTTATTTTTCCTGTGCTTTTTTTTTTGTATCAGGTTTGATATCAATGCGTCGAGGAGAGGAAGAAGAGACGGTTTATTGGCTCAGTATGGGTAGGACCTTCCATAAAGTTTGCCTCAAAGACAAGATACTCACCGTTACTCGATACTTACCCAAGTGAGTTCACTGGCAAATATTGTACCGTACATCACAAAATCAACTTATATATGACAAATAATGGCACAATGACTGTGTTTTAGATACCCATACGAGTCACGTCATATCCAGTACAACTACAGCCTTTGTCCTCCCCATGTCGATGCTCAGTTTGTCTCCTGTTGGGTTGAGTTTGGCCATGAAAGACCAGAGGAATATAAATGGAACTACTTGGACCAGTATATTTGCTCTGCAGGCTCTGAGGACTTCAGGTATATTTAATCAATGCATCATAAATATACAGTGGCTTGCAGTGTTCATATCCACCGCCCCCCCTCACTTTTTTTTTTTTACAACTCAAAATTACTTTATTTTGATTTCTCATAATAGACCAGGGGTCAGCAAACTTTTATCTTATATCACAGGCCAAACATTCTATTTTCATCATGCAAACCTGCTATAACGCTATCCAAAGTTCACGGTTTTGGTTTTATCATGGTATTTATCACTGAATAATATTTGTTACAATATCGGGTCAAAGCTCACTTTATTGCAATAAGCATCATTGTGTTGCAAGAAAGTTTCATGGAACATGTTCTGTTCACTGACATGACAGTATTACAATACAATACAATACATCCTGATTCATATAGCGCTTTCACAACAGCTGCAGCTGTAACAAGCGCTTAACAAAACGGTTAACATAAAGAAAAATAATAAACACAACACATAACATAAAACACGGACAGTCGTGCAATCCTAACCACTTTTCCCTCATACGCTTTGTTGTTTAGTCATGTATTTCTTATTTGTAGCATTCGAAATGGGATACTCGTCAGAAACACAGGAACACTCTAAATAAAGGCAACAAAGGCACAGAAAAAAAGCCAAATAACAATAAATAAAATAATTAACCTTGTTAGTTTCTCTTTCTGATGTGAAGCCAGAGGCAAAGGGTGGATGTTGCAGAAAGCGCAGGTCCCACAACGGCCACCGTTCCTTGTCAGATGACCGCATGTCGCGGCCACATACATAGCCGGCTAGAGCATCGGTGTCAAACATACGGCCCGCGGGCCGAACCCGGCCCGCAAGGAGGTTTGATCAGGCCTGCAGGATAATTTAAAAGTAAAAAATGCATAAAAGACACGGAATGAATATTTTTAATAAGGTGCAATTCATGGAGTATCCGCTAGATCTGTTTATTAAATTTCAACATTTTCCTAATGTTCTTGTGCTTCTTTGGACCAAAACAAAGGAAATACATTATTTTTGGTTATTTATGGCAGAGTATGGTATAATTTTAATGGTCCGGCCCACTTTACATCTATCGAGGCCGTATGTGGCCCACAATGTGAAATGAGTTTGACACCCCTGGGCTAGAGTGTACAGGTGCTAACTGATGAATCCAAAGTTAGCTGAATGAGAATGACTTGACTGGGCCCTGACCGCTGCTAGACTTCATATCAGTGGCTACAAAAAAAAAAAAAACAGACGCTAGCAGACAAGTACAAAGTCAGCTGTAAGCTAATGACTTGACTCGGCCCTAATAGCTTCCCGTGTTCATAGATTCATATCAAAGGCGACAAACAAGGGCAGATGCACAACGTGAAGCTTCATTGGCAGATTATTATTTCCATTAATGCGCAGACAAGAATTCTGTGCTGATGAGAACTTTAACCATCTACAATAACAAACGCCATCACACGGCACTGTTGTTATTCTGTCAGTGTCATAATACTTGTTGGAATACGCCTCACGGCCATGGCTCAGTGATGCATAGATGATGGTGTGTGACATATTTATTTTATTTTGGTCCTTGAAGGTATGTCTTCACATGAAAATGCTTTTATTTAGAGAAAAAAATGTCTCAGTGTGTATATGTGTGTAATGTGCATTGTCAGAATGTCACTGCAAAGTATATATTTTAATATTTTTATTGATTATTTTAAGAATTATAATATTGTGATATAATGTATAAATATAAGAATGAAAACAAAATTAAATAATCACATTTTCTGGATAATTTCGGTGAGGAAAAGTGGTTCAGAAAATGCATTGAAAATGTATTGCAGACTGCAAACTGTGACGGACTGTCCATATTTTGTTAGGGAAATCACGGAACGCTCACTTGTTCCACCCGTAGTTGGGGGTATTTAAAAATAAAAATCCGCGGTCACTAGATCTCACTCCTCAGCCTCCCTGGTAAGGTCTATTCTGGAGTGCTGGAGAGGAGGGCCCGTCGGAATGGTGACTCTCAGATTCAGGAGGAGTAGTCTGGTTTTTGTCCCGGCCACGGAGCAGTGGACCAGCTCTACACCCTTGGCAGGGTCCTCAAGGGTGCATGGGAGTTTGCCCAACCAGTCTGCATGTGCTTTGTGGCTTTGGAGAAGTCGTTCGACCGTGTCCCTCGGGGACTTCTGTGGAAGGTGCTTCGGGAATATGGGGTACCGAACCCCCTGATACGGGCCGGTCCCTATTCCACCGATATCAGAGTCTGGTTCACATTGCCGGCAGTCAGTCGGAATCGTTCCCAATGAGGGTTGGACTCCGCCAAGGCTGCCCTTTGTCACCGATTCTGTTCATAACCTTTATGGACAGAATTTCTAGGCGCAGCCGAAGTGTTGAGGGGGTCCGATTTGGTGGCCTCAGTATTGCATCTCATTTTGTAGTCTCATAATGTCCTATGCATGAGTATTTATATATAAATATACATATTTATAAATTTGGTCAGTGGTTTAAATACTTAAGCATGCTAAAATTGACATTTTTTCATTTGTATGACCATGAAATATATTTCCTTTTCACTAGACAATTATGTTGTCTTGGTCTATCACATGAAATCCCAATTAAATATATTGTACATTCATGTTTCTGGTTGTAACATGACAATGTATAATTGCCGTTGTTAAATTTTCATCCATCCAAAAAAAAAAAAAAATGTGGTGGACAGTCCTTGAAATGTTAAAATGAAGCAGCTTGTGACAGACTCTGGAGGGGATCATTTAAAAGTGTAAATATTTGGGGGAATTACTTGTTATTAATTTGATTATCTTCATGGAAACTCGGACTGTGGATGTCAACATGATCTTAACCTGAGTATGAACTTTCCTTTGCCTATGCCAGTTTGATCGACTCACTCAAGTTCTGGAGGACAAGGTTCCTCTTGCTTCCAGCTGGAGGAGCTCGGCGTGTAGCTGATGGAGATGGGCACTGGGATGTTTATGGCGATGGATCAAATACTGGAATGGGTGGTAGTTGTGACTGGGTCCTGCTGGATGGCTTCATTCGCTTCCTTGAGGGAGTCAACCGCATTCGCCGACGTCACCGTTCCGACAGGATAATCAGAGTGAGTATCTGTAGCGAAAAAAAAAATGGTTACCTTATGGAGTCTGTTGTCTTAACTGATTCACTGCTATCAATTCATATTATTAAATTGAGGCTGGCTGTGGAATTATTAAACACAGACTCTGCCTTAAAGTGTAGATCTGTTTCGGTGCTTTATTTAGCATAGCTTGCCTACCGTATTTTGTCATACTCAGTCAGCTCTGTGTTTGGTGTCAAAATGCCAAAGCAGATTCTACACTTTGACAACACCAACTCATAACTCAGCGTTTAAGGTCACACCACAGCATCCCATTTGGATTCATATCTAGACTTTGACTCACTCGCACCCATCAATAGGAAAGAGGCATTAAAGAAATTCAGTTTTGGTCCCGCTGCCTTTTTAAAAACACATCTCGCATGCATGCAAAATACCATATTTTCTTCAGTTGTCATCTAACTGGTTGCCCTGTATGTCAAGCAAGTAACGGGATTGATGATAGGCTGACATTGTAAGTTCTGCTGTACTTAGTGCCGTTGTTTGAATGGCAGCGCCACCACCGAGGGAGGCATTTTCGACACTTGTCATGTGAAAGCCCGTGAGCCGCATTGAACCAGCCAAATGGCCGCATGCGGCTCGCAAGCCGCAGGTTGGCCACCCTTCCATCCTTGCTCTATGGACATACACAAAATTTGCAAATATTTAGCTTAAAAATTACCACGTTTTGATAATGGTACCTACAGCTCAGCTAAATTTGACAATGGTGTCTTTATTCATATTTTTACACCGCAGAAAGGCACTCCCATGAAGGCCTTAAATTCTCTCCTTTCATACCCTTCTGAACCAATGGTGCCCCTGCAAGGCAAAAAAGGAACATCAGCTTTATCTGCGTTACTGGAGATGGATCAGAACCATAGGTAAGTGCGCCCTGTATGTTGGTCAAAATTACATTTTGGTGCAGAAGCATTTGGACAACGGCAGTTTTAAAAAAAATTATTTAGCTTTCATACACTAAAGTGAAAAACTTTTTTTCACAAACTAAAACCGTTTTCAACCAGAGGTTCGTGCTCATCTATTGGTATAATTTCAAGGGGTCAGTGAAAATAAAATACCCCTTTTAAAAGGGTACCGTAATTTCCAGGATAAAAAACACAACTGATTAAAAGCTGCAACAGCTAGATGGGCACTGGGATGTTTATGGCGATGGATCAAATACTGGAATGGGTGGTAGTTGTGACTGGGTCCTGCTGGATGGCTTCATTCGCTTCCTTGAGGGAGTCAACCGCATTCGCCGACGTCACCGTTCCGACAGGATAATCAGAGTGAGTATCTGTAGCGAAAAAAAAAATGGTTACCTTATGGAGTCTGTTGTCTTAACTGATTCACTGCTATCAATTCATATTATTAAATTGAGGCTGGCTGTGGAATTATTAAACACAGACTCTGCCTTAAAGTGTAGATCTGTTTCGGTGCTTTATTTAGCATAGCTTGCCTACCGTATTTTGTCATACTCAGTCAGCTCTGTGTTTGGTGTCAAAATGCCAAAGCAGATTCTACACTTTGACAACACCAACTCATAACTCAGCGTTTAAGGTCACACCACAGCATCCCATTTGGATTCATATCTAGACTTTGACTCACTCGCACCCATCAATAGGAAAGAGGCATTAAAGAAATTCAGTTTTGGTCCCGCTGCCTTTTTAAAAACACATCTCGCATGCATGCAAAATACCATATTTTCTTCAGTTGTCATCTAACTGGTTGCCCTGTATGTCAAGCAAGTAACGGGATTGATGATAGGCTGACATTGTAAGTTCTGCTGTACTTAGTGCCGTTGTTTGAATGGCAGCGCCACCACCGAGGGAGGCATTTTCGACACTTGTCATGTGAAAGCCCGTGAGCCGCATTGAACCAGCCAAATGGCCGCATGCGGCTCGCAAGCCGCAGGTTGGCCACCCTTCCATCCTTGCTCTATGGACATACACAAAATTTGCAAATATTTAGCTTAAAAATTACCACGTTTTGATAATGGTACCTACAGCTCAGCTAAATTTGACAATGGTGTCTTTATTCATATTTTTACACCGCAGAAAGGCACTCCCATGAAGGCCTTAAATTCTCTCCTTTCATACCCTTCTGAACCAATGGTGCCCCTGCAAGGCAAAAAAGGAACATCAGCTTTATCTGCGTTACTGGAGATGGATCAGAACCATAGGTAAGTGCGCCCTGTATGTTGGTCAAAATTACATTTTGGTGCAGAAGCATTTGGACAACGGCAGTTTTAAAAAAAATTATTTAGCTTTCATACACTAAAGTGAAAAACTTTTTTTCACAAACTAAAACCGTTTTCAACCAGAGGTTCGTGCTCATCTATTGGTATAATTTCAAGGGGTCAGTGAAAATAAAATACCCCTTTTAAAAGGGTACCGTAATTTCCAGGATAAAAAACACAACTGATTAAAAGCTGCAACAGCTAAATTTAGCCATAAAAACTAATTTGTACATACATTAGCTGCTTTGGATTCATAGCTGTGGGTCTCCACGTTATAAAATTGGGTGTTATCTATATTACAAACACCAGTAGACCGTTTTTTTTCCCAAACAATGCCAAATGCATCTGTAGCTACGCAGTCAAGCCAAGTCAAGTCAAGCCAAGTACAACTTTATTGTCAAATGTGCTGTATGTGCAACATACAGCACAGATGAAATTTCTTCCCTCTCAGACAACAAGACACCAGGAGAATCAGAAACAGCAAACCTTTTCCAGACTTTAGTTGTTACGCTAGTTTCTCTCTTTCTTCTCTCTCTCTCTCTCTCTCTCTCTCTCTCTCTCTCTCTCTCTCTCTCTCTCTCTCTCTCTCTCTCTCAGTGTATCTATATCTCTCAGTCTCCTGCAGCTGTAAATCATGTGGTTGCTACCGCAAATAGCTGATGAGGATGCACTAGGACACTTTCAATGGTCCACTGTGACATGATCTGTAATTTCATTTGTCAGTGACAAAGAATGGGTATATCTATTGATAGCTCGTAGGGAAAACCCATCAATCAATCATATCACGTTAAAAGCCACAGCGTTCAAAGTAGCAGTTTATAAACCGAACAGCATGGTGTTATAGTTTCTTGGCTGCTTATTTACAAAGCTGCTCATGTGCAGAAATATTTTCTGTGCATGAGCGTAGCTTGAAAACTAAATGCCATGTGCCCCATTCGCTGCTACAAAAAAAACATGACACTTTTGATCTTTTTCCAGAAGAGGAAACATCTCATCAGTTCCACAAGTTTTTGTGCACTTTTAGGCTTTAAAAAACAGATTTTTTTTCCTCTGGCAAATGGTGGTTCGCAGTGGCAGCAACGTTCAACGAAATAAAAAAGCTTTATGTTAATTTTTACTTTGAATATCATCAGATGATCCACCAACAATACATCAGATTAAATACTTAAAAGAGGAGTTTGATTAATTATGGCCTCTTTGGGAGGTGGAAAATTTGAAAGTAAATTTAAATGCAATGGCGGACTTCTTGTTGGGTTTAGAGTATGGCCCCAAGAAACTTTTTGTAGGTCTTGGGCTGTTAGACATATGCCCCAATTTTTGTGGACATCGGTGAAATGTACAGCTAGGGGTGCTCAATTAAAGATTTGTAGGCGGCGCTACTCAGCCATTAAAAAAAAATAATAATAATCTCAACACCACAAAAAAAAGACAATTAAAATGTCATCTTTACAGATCCAAAATTCTAACATTAATTTTATGTACTAGCGTCACCACTCAACTCAACTCAACATTATTTATAGAGCACTTTAAAACAACCATTGCCGTATACATAAGTGTTGTACATGGAGCATATAGCATTTATACAACAGTAAACAATTAAGCAATAAATCAGTAACAACGATGGTAGAAAGCACCAAACAGTAAAACTAAAAATCAAGTCTGAGTCATGCTGAGTCAAAAGCCAAAGAATAGAAATTAGTTTTGAGACGACTTTTAAAGATGGGCAGCGAGGGGGCTTGCCGAACTTTCAGTGGGAGGTCACTCCAAAGAGAGGGACCAAAAACGGAAAAGGCTTGATCCCCTCTGAGCCTCTGCTTAGTTCTTGGTACCTCCAATAATGTCTGGTCCGCAGACCTGAGGCACCGGGCAGGTGCGTACGGGCGGAGGAGCTCAGAGAGGTAAGGTGGTGAAAGGTCATTTAATGATTGGATCTTAAAAAGAACCCTAAATTGTATAGGGAGCCAGTGAAGTTATCCCAGCGTAGGAGTGATGTACTCCCTTTTACAAGTACCAGTCAAGAGGCGAGCAGCAGCATTCTGGACCAACTGGAGACCCTTAATGGAGGATTGGCTGATTTTGCATTAGAGTAATCCAGCCAGGATGTGATGAAGGCATGAATTACTGTTTGAAAGTGCTCATGAGAAAGGAGAGGTTTTACTTTACTTTTGCTTAAGATGAAAGAAGCTGGATTCAACAACAGCACCAATTTGCCTGTCCAATTTAAAATCACTGTCCAGTCATATTAGACATTTCTGTTCAGGTCTTCTTTCCTCCATTATGCAAGAAATTAGAATTTTGTTACTGTGTTAATTTTATGCTAAGTCTCCTTGTGTTGTATTATTTTGTCATTTTATGTCAACTGTTCTTTTGATGGCGGCGCGGGCACCCGCAGCGGCTCCTCTTGTTGTCTTGTTGTCTGGTTGAGAGGGAAGAAATTTCAACTGTGCTGTATGTAGCACATACAGCGCATTTGACAATAAAGTTGTACAGTCATACCTAGGTTTTCGACCATAATCCGTTCCAGAAGGCTGTTCGAAAACCAATTTGTTCGAAAACTGAAACCACGCTCTTTTTAAAAAAAAAAAAATCTTTATTGAACACGACTGTTCACCATGGAACGCTAAACGAGGAAGCGTCACTTCTTGGTCTACCCGAGGAAGCGTCACTTCCTCGTGTAAGGAAGCCGAGAGGAGTCAAGTGGCATATTCGGGTTTGCTCAGTTTGGTTGAAAACCGGTTTTCGGTCATAATCCGTGGTGTAAAAATCTAACATTTTCTGGTCGAAAACCGATTCGGTCGAGAACAGAGACGTTCGAAAACCGAGGTTTGACTGTATGTCAACACTATAGTCAGGAATTTTTGTCTTGATCAGTTTTCTCTTTTTATTTTGTTTTTGTTTTCTCCTCCAAGGACATTGGAGGAGCAACAGCAGAAGCCCAAGCCCATAACACCTGTTTCTGAACTCCCAAGTGCAGAAAGTCCACGCAAGGTAAAATTTTTCTGAGGCTTTATGCCCCTGGTTGGCTCACCCATATGTCCCATGTGAGGAACCAGACAAAAAAACGGCTTAAAAGACCTCTCTTGTCCGGACGAGGGTCACCAGCGCCCCTATCTGAAGCCAGGCCTGGAGGTGTGACTCAATGGTGAGCAGCTGGTGGCCAGGCCCGCGCCTATGAGGGCCTGGCCCGGCTCAGCCGGAAAGGACAATGTGGGTCCTCGTTCTCATGGGCTCACCCGCCGTGAAAGGAGGCATAGGGGTCAGGTACAATGTGAGCTGGACGGCCAAAGACAGGAATCTTGGCGGCCTGATCTACAGAATCTACAGAATGTGGCTCTTGGGATGTGGAAGAGGAAAAGGAAAGAGCCCGAGCTGGTGTGTGAGGTTGAGAAGTTCAGACGACACATAGTGGGGCCCTCCTTGATACATAGAGTAGCTTGCACTCTGGTACCAGTCCTCTTGAGAGAGGTTGGACTCTCTTCCAATCTGGAGTTGGCCATGGAGAGAGGTGACGAGCAGGTGTGCTCATAGTCCTTACGTGGGGGGGACTTGCACGAACTGTCGTTTGTACTTGTGCATCTTCTCATCTTATATCCAACATTAAGCACAGAAGTTGCTTGAGTGGGTAGCTGTTCTACTGTGTATGTGGATATATCATTTTTTTTCTGAGTTTTGGTCATATGATGTTCTCAAGCTGAGCTGTGATCTGAGCAACTGTGATGTCATTTTCACTCATTAGTGAATCCCCTGAGATGGTTAGTGCAGAATGTTGGGCCGTATTATGTTGGGCCGTATTTGTTTAAATGTGTATGTGTGGGGTGGGTGGGCTTGTAGGCTGGACTGGGCCTCTTGGGTGCAGACCCATCCATCAGGCACTCTCCATAAAGTCGAGATGGCTCGAGAGGATGGTGTCCAGGTGACAGAACACACTCTTCAAAAGTGCTCACCTTCATCGGGGTTCTTTGATCTCTGCATTGTCGGATCTCTCGTCTCGAACTTCTTGTGCTGCGTAACCCAAAAGTAATAATTGTATTTTGTTGGTCCGCATCTAACAAAGCACAACACTGGGAGAAAATACCATGCTGACGATATTGCTCATGTTTTTATTCATATAGTTCGCTGCTGAATACATTGAAGGCATGGACAAGGTATTCCAAGTGGGACTGACAGCTGGAACATCAGTACAGTCTGCAGGTGAAACTGCAACTGGTGTTAATGTTGACCCAAGGTAAACCTCAATTTGATGTGATAATCGTGACAGCTGTAACTTCTTCATTATATGGTCCATAAGTGGGTTTTCTGTTAGTATTTCTTTGTTTGTTTTACAGAGATAGTTTGAAATAAAAACATTTTGTGGTTTCCACCTTAAGTTATTTTATAAATGCACATTTAAAATCTTCTGAACTTCCAATTTAAATTATTGTCTGCAGTAATGTTGCACCAAGTACCGGTAGCGGAACCAGTATCGTACCGTGAATTTTAGCCAGCAAAAATGACAATACCATAATTCCCAATACCGGTACTTGGGGGGGCAAAAATAATAATAATAAATCAGCAAAGGTGCTCCAACTCTCTGTCAGATGCGGCCGGTTCAAAGCGGGTCCGCAGTCACTCCGGAGGCCCCTTTGCTACGTGCGTCAAGTTAAATACTTCATCTGTGAATAAATAAAGAAATATCAGTGTCTGGATGTGTAAGACGGCCATCTGACTGAAGTATCACTATTTGCTTTTTACAGAGATGAAAGTCCTCCGGACAAGGTTGTGGCCCCAGGCCACAACCTTGTGGCCTGGGGCCCCCTACTTGACATCCAAATTTAATGTTGGTGCAACCCACGCCGTATTTTGCGACGTCGTACTGTAGCTGAGGCTCATGATAACTTTCAGCAAAATGTAATTCGGAGGTGGCCCCAAGTTGAAGAAAAGACATCCTGCTACTTTTTCAAAATCTGCAGTGAAGAGAAATAAAATGAATTTGAAGTTGTTCAGCTGTCAGTTATTATTTCACAGCTTTTTACTGATGTTTTTAAGATTTTGCAGTGGTATTATTTCTGTACAGGTCTCAAATTATTTTGTGCAGGTTAAGTATCAAAGTCAAAATTATAGTATCGTAAAAACAGTACTCTGCAGTAGACCCGCAATCCAACTCGGGACGTGACCATTTGTGAGCCGTCGTGATATTGCTGCATAATCACTCATGATGAGTGTGTGTACATTAGAGGTAGGGTTTTTTGTTTTTCTTTTTTTTGATTAACGGAATTATCTAAGAGCAAATAGTCATGCTACAAAAACACAAGGTTGAATGATTACTTTTTTCTGTGCTCATTACTCTGTGACCATTCAGCATGTCAAAATATCTCATCAATTTTTTTTTTGACAGATTAGCGGGAAACAATGGGTCGTTTGCACTGGAGGACTTTTCTCTGTCCTCTTCGTCAACACTCCTGGAAATCCTAGAGGCCATTAAAAATCCCACGTAAGTGTGTTTATGGTAAACTGTTGACATGGGAATATGCACACTGATCTTCTTAAATTGAAGGATGACATCCAATATGGCTGCGGGTAAAGAGACTGGGGGACAGTTGTGATAATAATAATAATAATAATAATAATAATACATTTTATTTATAAGCGCCTTTCAAGACACCCAAGGACACTTTACAATAACAAAAAACACAAAACAATACGGGTTGAGCAGCGGCAGCCAAAACGCGCCAGTGTTCACTCAAGTCAGAAAGAAACCACAAGGGAGGGAGAGGGGGAGAAAAAAAAACCCACGCTCGAACCATCCTCATTTTGAGGATAATTTGAGTTAGGCAAAAAAAAACTCCTGCACAAGCATATGACAGTTACAACAGGTCAACCGGCGGCCTCTTCACTTCCAATAGAGCCGCTCCCGTCGGTTGAATTTTGCGATAGATCAGGAAACTGCTAACACCAAAAAGCAGCATACCTGTTATCGGAAGACCGAAAATGTTGATGTCATCCACATCCTCAACGGACAGTGTTGACAGGCACACCATTCTCCGCTTCCTCCAAGGAGGGTGTACCCAGCAGCAAAAGTCCCCGAGGGGCAAGTAGGCTCCCCACTGCCTGCTCTTCTCATCGAGAAAATTTTGTCGATGGCATCGAGAGACCAGCCAACCAATTCCATGATTGTTTTTAGGATGAAAGTACGACAGGAGGCTAGGAAAAGTCAGACAAAGACAGCACATGGACAGAGTGGCGAGCAGGGAAGGGGGGGGGTGGGGTGGGGGGACAGGAGCAGAAAGCAAAAGCGTCCGCCTTCGTCGAGAGCCAAGCATACTAGTTTGGCTGCTTTGTGCTTGCTTGATGTTCACCATTCTCCAAGGAATGATCAGGGAGTTTGTGTGAATGCTCAGACACAAGGAAATTTAGAGGGAACGTTGATGGACACCCTTATGCTCAAACAAGGTATTCTCTATGGACAATCTGTGACGAGTACAGAATTCCTGTAACGGAACATCACTCAATGCTCTTCTTAATGTCTTCATATGAAAATGGTCAGTGGCGCTAATTACTTTTTTTATGTGCTCTCTAATAACATAGGACAGGTGTCCTCCTGCTCCCAGAACAGAGAGGCCTGCCATTCAACTGCTTCATAAGCGCTGAGGTCATCCACTGGTTAGTCACCAATGTTGAGGGTGTAACCACACAGAGCATGGCTGTTGATGTTATGCAGGTAAAAGTCTGTATGCGACGCAAATAATTTTTAGATGTTGCCTGTGTCAATATCAATATTTCTCCTTTCTGCTTTGTTTCATGTTCCATGTGGTATAATCACGTCACCAAGTTATAGACAGTGTGTTTATGCAATTCCATTTCGAAGTAAACTAATTAAATGGTGGCACAATCGTAATGTTAAATATGTAGGGGGCATTGGGCTTGAACAATCGTTGATGGTACAGTAGCTAAAATGATCAGTGTCTTCCATACAGTTCGCAGCAAATTTGGTGCTCATTGTCACAAACTTATTTTCCGACACAGTGCAGGGAAAGGGAGATTTTTCCCTGCTAATAATTTGGGATTTCTAAAAATGGCTAGTTGTGGTTTGTGCCCACATTGTCATCACACTTTAAAAATATAAAGCATAAAATATGGACATGTCTTTTGTGAATGTTAATTAAATCAAACAAAAATAATGTACCGTAATCTTAATATATAATTTTTGAAAGGTTTTATTTTAATTTGCTAATAACAACACACATCAAGTTGCAGCTTGTTAAAACAATACAATAGTGACTGAATTGAATTACCTTTTTGGATTGTTTTGCTTTGTTTTTTTTTTTTTTTACTTAGCTGTCAAACATTTTTTTGTTGACAAATTGTTTTTGGGTGATAACAACTACCATTCATAGTTAAGGAGGTATGGGGACTTCAAATGTGCCCAAGACTTTTGGAACACCCTGAATATTTTGTTTGTTTTGTCTTCTAAGAAAATGCTTGAGGAGGGTTTGGTGGCCCATGCATCTGGAGATGCTATGCGGACCTTTGTTTATGGCTTCTACATCTATCGGATTGTGGCAGAGAAAGATGGTGAATGGGTTAAAATCACTTTGGAAAGCTTGCACAATTTCGACAATTACATAGGTGACACCAGTCCCTTTCTCATTCAGCAGGCCAGGCCTCACATCTCCCCCCAACAGTGGCTTGCGGCTGGTCCACCGCAGGCTTGGAAGACTTTGCCCTGTTTCAGAGAAAATGGTTTGAAGTGGCCTTTGTGTTTGAGGAGCAACAACCATCTGACCTTCCGGCATTCCTTCTGCCCTGGCTGCCTAGCCGACCAGCCTCTTATGCAAGCAGGCACAGCTCTTTCAGTCGCAGCTTTGGCGGACGCAGCCAGTCAGCTGCACTGCTAGGTACATCCAGCCAATTGAGCCCACGTTCCAGTTAAGGGAGCACAAGGTCAACACAAGGTATTTGGTGGATAACATGGATGAATTGGAAGTCCGTGTTAACCACCAGAGAAGAGATATTGGGCTGGGGAGATATAGACTCGGTATGCTGACGAGATGATAGAAAGACTAATGTACTAATGTAAAGTCTGTATCGCGCCAGCTCTTTTATTCCAAAGACACCAGAAAATATTAACTTTTAAAGGTTTAATGTGTGCTTTTAAAAATGTCTGAGTAGCATCCCCTACAAGTACTGTCTTTAGCAAGCAGGCCTAGTTATACTTTGCATACTGGTCTATGAAAATTTGGAGGCATATGTAACAGCAACTTAACGCCTAACCATACCCGAGGTTCCATACCCTAACGCTAAGAGGAAGTCTGCCATGATTTTATACATTTTCAGTTCCATTTTTGGCCTTTATAGATTAACAAACAAACAAAATAATAATAATTCAGCTCATCTTAAAATATTGGGTGTTTCATTTTCCAGGTATTTAAGATGAAATGTTGAGCAAAACTTTATTTTATCAAACACCGTTGGCGTAGAAGCGATTTTGATCGTCTAAAACATGAGTGAAAACAAAATTATGCACACATCAGATCTCGCAAAATACTTATTAAATTTTTTTTTGCCATTTTGTGCAGTTTTGTTTTTTGTGTCTCTGTAGCTCTCCTACAACTTTTTACCAAAGCGGCCCCGATTGTTCATATTTCACCAAGATCTATGAAAAATTGGAAGCATATGCAACATAACATAAGTTACATGATGTATTTTACAAAAAAAAATTAAACCACCTACATATCAAAATAGAGCATACCATTTGATAGAGATTTGTACAACAAATAAAATGAGCCAGGCAATAAGAATTGGTTAAGCATTACATGCCATTTTTTGTATGCTTTATAAATATCATAAATTGGCCCAAATTGTCCAGAAATCAGTGTAAGTGAATGGGGATTTTGTAAGAATCATACTTCTTTTGAATAATCAGTATTTTCTATTTTATGAATTTATGAAGGGAATATATGTCATGAGTACACCGACATGGGAATAAAATTGGTTGAAACGGGAAGCTAAATTAAATGTTGAATCATGTTATCACTAATAACAGTAAATGTGCTGAGATGCTTTATTTGTTCGATAATAATCCTCAAGAAGTCTTTTGAGGACTTACCCAAGTCCATTAAATGTTCACAAATTCACACTCATTAGAAGATGATGCCAAACATTAATATTCAGTCGTTGGTGGTAAAAATACGAAGGCTAACTGAAAATATCAGATCATTTTCAACCTATTTCAGTAATTTCACAATTTTCAGTGTCTTTGTATGAGGCGAATATGAAAAGGCAAAATGCAATACAAGTCGATAAATGTTTAGTGCATTTTAAATTGGAAGCAACAACTACACAATAAATACAATACATCCTGATTTATATAGCGCTTCCACAACAGCTGCAGCTGCAACAAAGCGCTTTACTACTGTATACACGATTCACATTTGGACGATGTATACTTTGAAAGTATCTATAAACATAAAAATAAATACTCGTAAACATATAAAAATATTTAAAATACATTTTTGAGTATAGTATCGATAGATTCATTGCCAACAGCAAGGGGTGGCAACTGGTGATTAAGGCATTTGGTGAGGGTGGCATCTGCCACCCTTTTGCCACCCTGTAAAACTGCCTACGTGCAACATCCTGAAGTCTTACACACTTCAGAGCAAATGTGAAATAGATCTAGTTCATCCGCTAGGAGAAAGACATCAAAGATTCAAAATTATATTTCTTTTTAGCTCTTATGATGAAAAATAAGTTTATAGATGTCTCCAGGCCTGGACTCTCATTCATAAATTTGTGAAATTTTGATGAGTTGTCTGTGTCAAGTTACAAGACTTTTTTGAAGGGCTTGGGCTGTTACATATACTTGCAACCTGTGTGTCAAGAAACAACATTAATTATTAAGGTCTAAACATGCACAAACGTCAGGTCTGGCAAAGTAATCAGTACTTTATTAGTTTATTGTGAGATTTTCTTTAATTGTCCCATTAGCGCAAATGTTCTACAAACCAACCCTGGTTGTACATTTCAACAAGATCGACAAAAAGTTGGAGGCATATCTAACAGCCTAAGACCTACAATAAAGTCTCTTGGAGTCATATACTAAACCGAACACGAAGTCTGCCATTATGAATTATCTTTCAACTTCAATGAAATATGCTCGTGGGTGTTTTCAAGCCTGGACTCTCTGTCGGTGAGGTTATTCTGACAAATATTCAACTTATACATTATATACATGTTAACTTTCGGATTTTTTTGTAGCATGTGCAGAGGAGTTATTGAGCATTTCCTTTTTTGTGGCGAAGGAAATAATGGAACACAAAATTCGATGCTCCACTCAAGTCATATTTCTAAAAAACGTAATATTTTTTTCTCAGGTGTTGATATGGTAAAGACCAAGTTAGAATTTAATCATAATAATGATACCTCTTGGACAAGGGTGCAAACGTATGACCCCTGTAAATGTGGAAAAATGGGCCAAAATTGGACATAGAAAAAAAAATCATAGCTCACTTTTCTTAGCAGATGGCAGCAATGGACTTTTTTAGTATTTCTCGGAGTGTTACATATGCCTTCCAATTTTTGTAGCCCTAGGTCAAACGTACCAGGATTTGATTTTGTTTTTCCCACTGTAGGTGGCGCTACAGATCCATGTCTTTGTAATTGTGCATGACGACTTTAAAATATCAAACGTTTTTTCACCCGACCTGATGAACGTTAAAAGTTTGGTGTGTTTTCATCTTTGTCCATGCTCATTTTCTCTCCTGTCAGTTCTGTCGTTTGTCTCTTATTCTACGATATCTGTCTGTGCCCCAGCTGCAACAGTTCCAGAGCAGAAGACAGTCACTCTGGATGTGGATGCTAATAATCGCCGGGGTCGAACTGAATGGTGCACCTGTTATTACCACGGCAGCTTCTCCCTGAATTCTGCCTTTGAGATCAAACTTCATTGGATGGCTGTCACTGCAGCAGTCCTCTTTGAGATGGTGAGACTCTTTGCATGTTGTTGTTTTTTTAATGTTCTCTATCATTTCTAGATTTCTATGTGATTGCTATCCAATGTTTTTTTTGGGGGGGGTCCCCCAAGAATTGGACCTTTATTACTATTTCTTGAAACTATTGCATTCATTTGGGTTGTTGGCACTTCATCCATCGATCCGTTATCTGAAATCGCTTTATCCTCACGAGGGTTGCGGGCGTGCTGGTGCTGATCCCAGCAGACTTGGGCAGTAGGCGGGGTACACCCTGAACCAGTTGCCAGCCAATTAACATGCAGGTTGGGAAATAAGTGGCTTTTTGGGTGCAAGTCTCTTTGGAGTTTAAGGTGGGTGTGATTGTTTCAATGGGGTATTATAATTACCATAAATTTGTTGTTGCAAGTTTTGCCTGAGTGCCCCCAAATTTAAGTGTCAATTATTAGAGTCCACTGACATGCTCCGCCATAATTCTGGAGAGAAGAGCAGCACCTGTTTAACATGGGCCGGATGCTAACTCTCCTAATAAGACTTTCCACAGAAACTCTGACCAATATCTATTTGACCAGTCTTTTAGATATGCATAATGAACAAAAAGGCTTGTCGCGAATGGTGGACTATGAGCTACACCTCTCCTGAACAATGACTCAGCCAATCTTGTTTTGTGGCTGTTTAGGATCGGTCCAGGAAATACCAAATTCTAAGATAGCTTGCTCTGCGGCAGCTAATACTCACTCATACTTGCTCACAGCAAATAAACGGTTGTCAGAAGTACCATGATCTCGAAAGGAGGTTGAGGAGTAAACAGTCAGCATATCAAGCGAACGAGAGTAGGATGGTCACACTCCCCTCCCAAAGCAACAGTGGAACAGTGAGGCATATTTTTTTATTTTTTATTTTATTTATTTATTTTTTTACAAGCAACTCACAATTTTTGCCTGAATTTAGTTACCAGTCTTCTAATCAAAGTGTCCTTTAACCAGTGGATCTCTTTGCACTATTGGAGCCTTTATGAATATGAATTCAGAACCTGGCTTGCCCTATGGATGCCAACTCTGTCTGTCTGTCTAGCTATTTAGCTATTGTTGGTGGAAGAGCGGCCTCCTCTTCCCCGCGTGTTCGTTGAATTTCGGACGAGGAGAATGTTGGTTCTTCAAATAAAGGCTGGAGTCGATGAACAGTTCCTTCGAAGGGTTTAATTTATTTTCGGCAGTTTACGAATCGATAAAAAAAGTAACATGTCATCTGCCCCGGCGTGGCTGGAAGAAGTTGGGAGTGGTGAGGTGAGACCAGGCCACCACTACCCACCATTTGGTGCGATGGCAGGAACACAGATACTTGAGATAACAGTTCCTCTTTTGATGTTAAACATGTCCTGTGGGGGGGCCCTAAAAGTGGTGGGCGTCGAGGGGCACTAAAGGTGATTGTAAACACAGTGAGCAGGAAATACCTTCAACAGCATTCTACATTGTTTCTTTCAAGTGTCTGAACAAACACAACTAACAGAGAGAAATAACACCTTAACCATCAAATCTAACTAAGAAGAGAGGAATAATACAATAGTATTCCAATTCTAGGAGATGATTGTTACAAGGATGCCAAGCTACGCTGTGGGCATGGGACGGTTATACAGCATGACTGAATTTGAGCAGAATACAGACTTCACTATCTATCTAGGTAGCCAGCTAGCTAGCCGGCTAGCTATTGTGTCTATCTAGCCAGTGAAGCCATTATTTAGCTACATGCATTATCAGCTTGACAACATATTTTGAACAGACATAGTTTGACTGGGTGGCCCGGTGGTCCAGTGGTTAGCTCGTCGACCTCACAGTGCAGTGGAGTTTGCATGTTCTTCCCGGGCCTGCCTGGGTTTTCTCCAGGTGCTCCGGTTTCCTCCCACATTCCAAAAACATGCACGGCAGGCTGATTGAACACTCCAAATTGTCCCTAGGTGTGAGTGTGAGTGCGGATGTTCATTGTTGAGACATTGTATTTGCGCATTTGTGCTGTGATCACAGCCATTGTATCACACTTGTGCCCGGAATGTTCTGATGATAACATCTTCAAGAAACAACTTCTTCATTTCCAGCGTCTGATTTTATACATTAACTCAGCCCGAATTCAAACGAACATGCAGAGGACGGCAGAAGAATCACGCCTCACCCTCCAACACCAGCTAGCTAGCAAGCTTGCGACTGTATCTTTCTTTCAACTAGCTGTCTGTCTGTATATCCAGCATCCACCCATCCATCCATCCATCAAGACAGTATTGTCCCCTTAAAATAGTGTGTTCATCTTGTCTACTTCTTGGTTAAACTGGGTTTCAGGCTTCTTTTTTTCCAGACAATGATCTTTTTGTTTGGGTGAAGAGGAAAAACTCTTACCAAGTTGCTCCAATGAAGGCTGAAATGACAGCTGAAACTTTCAGCTGGGTTCCAGTTTTTTTCTCTTCATAAAAAAAAAAAAAAAAAAACATTGTCTAGAAAAAAAACCCTGAAACTTAAAGTCCCCTTCAAAGTCTGTTTCAATCTTTTATTAGGTTCAAGGTTGGCACAGGAAAGCGGCATCCTGTGGTTTCTTATTGGTTCCTGTGTTGGAAGGTCCGTTCGCACAGACGTCACACCTGTATGGAGATCCCCTGAGAGCACAACTCTTCATTGGTCTCAATATTCATTGTCTGATGAAGAATGGTAGCGAAAACCTGTTTGAAGGTACTGTTCACAATCCCAACATGAGCAATCCAATGCAAATATGACAGTTTTATCTTCTTCATGTAATTTTCTACATTTATCAATTTGTGTTCATCAAACAGGTTTTGAACCAGAGACTTACTGGGACAGGATGCAACGCTTTCAAGAGGCCATATTGTACAGGTTTCATGTTATTTTTAATGGCTGTGCTATACTATGCTTGGAGATGTTGTCCATGTCTCACTCAAACAAAAAGAAATTAACAAGAAAAATTCCCACAAAAATTAAATAACTGGCCTGCAACCTGTTCCTAGTCTGAAGCCTGCATAAGTGAACCAGTTATTGCAAGTTGGCTTGACTTTTAGAACTGTTTGAAACTTTGGTCCCAACAAAATGGACAGTCATACTGTCCAATTTTGAGCAACGACTAAAATGCTTACATTTGGTCAGGTGATATCGGGCAAGGGGATTGAGTACTTAACATGATATAACAGCAGCTAAGCTAACATTTGGCAAGATCGTAACCTGATTGGGAAAATCACTAGGGCACATAGATAAGGATTTTACATTTTTCCCCTATTGGTAAATACTATTGCTAATGAGAATGAATACAAAGCTAACCCGTTAAAATTTATAATGCTAAACTATAGCAATAGCAAGGATTGTACCCCATGGCCAGATATGTTTTTGAAAGTGCATGGCTCAGCTGTTATCATGGTAACAATTAGTATGCTAACATATAGCAATCTACACAAAGAAAGCGCTGAACTAGATTTATTAAAGATACAGCGGGGGACACACTGAACTGTTTGCCAGCCAATCGCAGGGGCACACAGAAACAAACAACCATTCGCGCTCACACTCACACTTAGGGACAATTTGGAGTGTTCAATCAGCCTACCATGCATGTTTTTGGAATGTGGGAGGAAACCGGGGCACACGGAGGAAACCCCCACAAGCACGGGGAAAACATGCAAACTCCACACAGGAAGGCCGGAGCTGGAATTGAACCAGGCACCTCTGCACTCTGAAGTCGACGTGCTAACCACTTGACTCCCGGGCCACCAGTCAATATATTGTTGTTTGCAAGCGCAGCACGTCATCCTCTTTTCCGTTGTCCAACTAACATTACACCATAAATATTTTGTAGATTTGGGTTCATACTCGACAAGTTTTCTGCTTCAGCTTTTAATTTCCCATCGGAGAACAGACCCCAGTACATCCACGTAACAGGTTGGTCCCACCGCTTAGACATTTAAAAATGGATTTCTTTTCTGTAAAGGAAAAGCCACATTCTGCCCCCTTCCTCTCAGGCACTGTTCTGTTACAACTGCCGTACTCCAAAAGAAAGTATACCAGTGGGCAACAGCGTCGACGCAGGAACTCCACTACATCCACCAACCAGGGGTCGATCAGTGGTGAAGATCGGATTGGCTTCTATTGGTCCTACAACATCATGTTGACAAAAGCCTGGAGGACCGGTGTTCTGGGTGACGAGAGAATGGCTGACCGCCTGCTGAAAGACTTTACAGACTTCTGTGCCAATAAAGACAACAGACTGCTGAACTTCTGGAACATTTGCCTGGAGAAAATTAATACCAGCGCCCCCTGAAGGCAGCAACTGTAGCTTCAGGTTTCAGTGCAATTTTAAATGCCTGGTTGCTACATTTGTTTGCATCACATCTGTTCCAAACAGTATTTTTGAGGGGAATCAATGACTGATACCATGAGGCAAAAACGTTTTGATTATGGGCCGCATTGAATGCTGATTGCCCTTGGAGAGCCGGTTACCACTTTGAACCCATATGTAATCATGTCATGATTGCGCAATATTGTTTTAAATATCCAGCAAACGCCTGATTCATCCTGCTAGTAGATATATCCTTTGATATTTGCTCAGTTCTTGTTCGCATGTGCACATATACTGTCCAGACCAGGTGGATTTGCCATCTACTGTAAAAACGGTCTAAATATTAAATGTAGAAGTTTGCCCTAATTTTCAATTAAATATGCTTATAGCAGGTCCCTGCCAAATGCTGACTGCACAGGGAGACAGCATATTGTGATGTTTTAACTTTATTTTTTCATTCACATGGCGGCATTTCTCTCAGCTTCTCCTCGTTGATTAATATATGTTCACATGCAGCTAAGAAGGGCAATGGCAGCCCGGGCCACTTTGTGGCAGGTTGGGTTTCTGGAATTTTGTTTTTAATGGAACATAAACCTCGGTGAAACAGAAGTGGGGCTGCTTCTGTAAATATTTTTCAGATGTGGTTATGAGCCTCTAAAATCCTTTTTTTTCTTCAACGAAATAAAAAGCTTTGGTCCTACTTTTCATCTTGAACATCTTTCGATAAAACATCTACAGTTTCAAGACAATTGGAAAAAAACCTCCAGGAGTTCTTCAAGATTGTAATGGGCAAAAAATGGGACCAAATTTTAAAAGTAAAAATGGTAAACTTCATGTTAGGTTTAAAATATATCGCCAAAGGGACTTTTTTTTAAGTCTTGGGCTTGTACACACGTCTCCAACTTTTCATAGATCTAGTGAAATATACAACTAGGGCTGCTTTGTTAAAACTTTCAATGGGGGCGCTAAAGATAATTAAAAAAAAAAAAAAACACTAAAATATTAAAAAATTTATTCTTGGAAAGTGGGTGCAAATTTTCATGTTTTCACAGAGTTTTCATGTTTTCACAGAGGTTTAGACCATCAAAATCAGCGTCATTATCTTGGCACGCAAAGACAACATCTGCAAAATAAAAAGCTTTGGTTTTACTTTTCATCTCAAACATCTTTAATGAAACACCAACAGTTTCAAGACAATCAATAATGGAGTTCTTTATAGATGTCACCTCTGCAAAAGGCCGAAAATGTGACCAAATTTTAAAGTAAATTAAAAATGGTAAATTTCATGTGAGGTCTCGCAAAGACTTTTTTTTGTAGCTCTCGGGCTGTTACATATATCACCAAATTTTCACAGATTTTGGCCTTCGTCCTAGTTTTGTGTTTACAACAGGCTTCGGCATCCCTGGTACCTGCGCCCTAGCTACGGTGGGAATCTGATGGCGAAAACCAGTCCTAAAATTGTCATTCGGGAACATTAACTTATCTCCTGCGTACATAAATCTATTAATGCTGACAAGCATTATGGAATATTAACAAGCACAAGCAAAAAAATACAAAGCAAACAGACGTGTAGCCATTCTCACGCAGGCCCAGCGTCACTCAACAAGCAATTCCTCCTTTGTGGCGAAACAAATATGAAACTCAAAATTTTATGCCCCGCCGCCATCATTTTGTAATTTGAAAACTCAAGAAATTTTTGCCAGTTATAAGATGGTCCAGCCAAAGGGTGCAAAAGTATGACCCCTGTAAATGTGTAAAAATGGTCCAAAATTAGACATTCAAAATCAAATTCTTTTTCCTCTCTTACCTAAATTTTCCTCAATTACAACCCGGCCTAGGCTTCACGTGCCTCTTCGAACTTGACATGGTCTTACACATACACCTCTCCTCTCCACTGTTAGATCTTTGACTGTCTTTTTCATTTTTTTTTTCTTTCTCCTTCTCTTTCTCAATATAGAAGAACAAGGTAAAAATGTAAATTATAATCGTGTTGTTGTGTCTGGTTGTTCCTTGATGTTTCAATTAGTAGGCAGTTGATGTGTGCCTTTATGATGTTACCTTTATTATGTCATATCGGCCTAAATTCTTCCAGTATATAAACTTGGATTACTCAGTGACGCTACGCTGAGCTTTCTTCCAAGCAGAGTGTCATCTCTCCTTGTCTTGTGCATCCAGCCCTGCTCTCTGGAGTTATTTTGTATTTTCGAAGATAACGACTTTTACTTTTCCAACTTCCGTGTTGTGTCTTCTTCTGGGTCCCAATTCCACTCCTCATGGGACAGTACGTACTGACCAGTCATGGACCCATCTGACTCAGGCACAATCCATCGAGCCACAGATGTCACAACCTGCTCCGAACCCTCTTTTCCTACACGTCTCTCTCACCTGAACTTGTTCTAGTTTTTCACACTCCCCTTCTCTTGTCCCACCCCATGTTTCATTTTTCGACTCAGAATTTTTTCTGATTGTGAAGATAGCCCCGATTTGGTTAACCTCCTTTCTGATTCCAATTCACATTATGACATAGATTTTGGTTTTGCTAGTTACTTCCCCAGTCACTACTCAAGCACTTGTCAATTTTTGTCACATTTTTCTGTTGGTGATCGCTCAGTGTCCACCCCAGAACCCATCCCATCAGACACTTACTTGGGCACGCAATCGGCCATTTATCCTTCGGAACCCAGGTAAAGGTTCTGGTAGGATCCGTTATCCCACCTTTTACAAATCACGTATTTCCGAAACTAACCCCAAGCCACTTTACTACCCGCCTTTTTCATCACTGTCTACTTCTGCACCTCCTTCCATTCATCATGTTTCTACTAGTTCACCTTCCCCAGTATTGTTCTCCTCGCCCTTCGTGGCCAAGACCCATGGCGGCCGGCTGATGAGGCAAGGCCCCATTACCTCAGCAGCTGCAAGACTTTGTGCTGGCTCCTCGTCACCGGCATTCTTACGTCGCCGCTACTCAGAAGCATTGAAACACAGCTAAAAATAAGGGCAGCAAACTGAACTGTATAAAAATACATAAAGACATAAATATATAAATGTAAACAAATAAAACAATAAATAGCAACCTCAACAGCACGAGGCACCCGTACCGGCCCCTCGGCAAAAGCAGGCCTCCATCCTAGCTTATCAGCAGCATGAAGCCCCAATCCTGCACCAGTGGCACACATCCTGCAGCCCTCCTTTAAACCTGTTCTGGCGGCCGCCTTCCGAACCTGTTTTGGCAGCGGAAGTCCTGCAATCGTCCTCCAAACCTGCTCAGGGGGCACAAGCCCATGGCCGCCCTCTGATACTGCTCTGGTGGTGCAAGCCCTGCAGCGGCCCTCCCATCCTGTTCAGGCAGTGCAAGCCCAGCAGCCGTCCTCGCCTCCTGTGCAGCCACCAAACTGGCCCTGCCAAGAACCTCTCGCCTGGCTGGCAGGACGCCCACCGGATTGGTCCCGGCAAGAACCTCTCGTCTGGCCGACAGGATGCCCACCCGATTGGCCCCGTCGAGAACCTTTCATCTGGCCTGCAGGACGCCCACTGAACTGGTCTTGCAACTTAGTACTGTATGTGGTTTCATGTTTTCCTCGTGTTCTTTTGTTTGATGTGGGCCTTTACTTTTTAATTTCGTGCAATATGTGACCAGCCCGACACATGAACAAGGACATATTTTAGACCTTGTCCTTGCTTATGGTCTACCGGTGTCAAATCTAGAAGTCCGTGAAAATGGGATTTCTGATCACATGGCAGTTTTATTTGACGTAGTCTTATCGCGTACTGCTGTAAAATCTCCCGCTCCTAGTTGCAACCGCCGAATTTTTGACCCTCGCACTGCTAGTCGGTTCTCTGATGCCTTTAATAACCTTTGCGTACCCTCGTCTAACACAGAGGAACTCACCTCTTGGTTCAACTCATCATGCCGTGCCATCCTGGATTTGGTGGCTCCTTCAAAAACTGTGCTCCCAAAACCTAAACTTGAGCCTTGGTTTAATGACAAAACTCGCGCAGCTAGGCAGGGGTGTCGCAAAGCCGAACGCAAGTGGAAAAAAGACAAATTGCAGGTCTCTTATCAAATTTGGAAAGACTGCTGGCGTAATTACCAGCTCACAGTAAAAGAGGCCAAAAGAGAATATCTGTCGGACCTTATTCAAGCTAACCGTCACAACCCACGCGCACTATTTAAAACGATAGATTCTGTACTAAAACC